GTCAGTCCAGCCCCTGATAACTCCTCGCAGCGCCATCCTCCTCAGACAGTAATGATCTATTTGCGCTTCCGCACTGTTCACTCGTTCCCAAAGGGCCCTTACAATATCCAGCTTGCCATACATCAATTCACCACCGAGTGGTGCAGAGCCGATCAGTCTATCTGCCTGCTCATTTCCCAACACACCGACATCACCTTTTAGAAAATATCCAAAGGATGCTAACTACCCGGGACCTCTAAAGAGAAGCTTGCCACTCTGCCTGTCTTCACCTTTTTCAACATGCTCTGTAGGTCAGTTACAATCACGGTATGTGTGTACAGCTGATTCTCAAGCCAGCGGAAGGTAGTCTCAACTAGCTCAGTTAAGCTAAGAACTGACATTAGAGCACTCAGGACATTTATATAAGTGCCCCGTCCCCATCTTCAGCGGCCATCAACGATGGGTATCACCATGGACACCAGTAGCAGTCTGATTATATGTCCGTCTTGCCTTTCCTCTAAGTGAAGTTAGAGTGTCGACCAGATCCTTTGGTTGATCGATGCTGCATCATTCTTTGCAGACAAGAGTAATGATCTATTCTCAATTCGAGAATGAATTCCAACTCCTTGCAGGCGTACCCGTGCACTATCATTTAAACCTTCACGATTTAAAGCTTCGTTTGGTTTGTAAAGGACTAACGTCCTTGGCGCTAAGATCATGGGTGGGCAATCAGTTTTTGGTAAAAGTAACGTTGATCTCCCTCATGCCCCGCACATATACACACTAGCTCACTTCTGATTGGTAGTTCCTGAACCTGTCGCCCTGACACAAGGTTACGGTGGTGTTCCGCAATGCCGTTGATATCGAGTGTTCTATATTTCAGCACGTTAGCGATTTCAACACTACAAAAACATAAAGAAACGTCCTAACACAAACCCCCCCCCCCCCCCTAGAGAGCGCTGCAACCTATGTCCCAGGCATTCTCTTTGTCAGAATGAAAACGTAATTGCAAAACATCACAAAAAGCAAACATCACAACGGGCCACACCCGTAACCTTCAGGAAAGTCGATTAGTCCAACAAACTTGTCAATGAAAAGTGACCTACTCTATTTGGGGAGATTACTATGAACTTAGCCCATTTTTTTTGTTTTTTTTTGTTTTTTTTTTGTTTTTGTTAGATAATCCGTGTTAAACATAAAGCCCAGATTTGCTGTTAACATTATTTTTTTGGGTGAGGGGGGGGGGGGGGGGGGTGAGAGAATCTATGTATTTAATCCCTCGCTACGTCTCTGGTCAGAACAATCACCCAACGAAGCACTTCTATATATTCCCAAATATGTTTTTTTTTTTAAGCTGGTTATTTGTTATTTGCAGAAATCATATTACTGACCCCAAGCCAGATTATATATATAGGTAATTGTAAATTAGCCTCGAGGACCAGGAAAAATAGATGGCAGCCCTGTTTTGGCCTACAAACCACAGTTTACACACGACTGCTCCAGGTATAAGAAGTTCAAATTTAACGTTTCGAAAGTGTATCTTATTTGGGATGTCTGTAAAGTGACTGGCCAGGGTATATAGATCATCTGTCACAACCATCGCTACATTGTACTTAGGCAATGTAGTTTTATTTCCCTAGGGCGATATCTGGTTCGGTCGGCGAATTCACTGGAAGGCAAAAGCTACTACGTTGTGCTATGAAGTGTCGAAAGCTACTACGTTGTGCTATGAAGTGTCAAAAGCTACTACGTTGTGCCATGAAGTGTCAAAAGCTACTACGTTGTGCTATGAAGTGTCGAAAGCTACTACATTGTGCTATGAAGTGTCGAAAGCTACTACGTTGTGCTATGAAGTGTCAAAAGCTACTACGTTGTGCCATGAAGTGTCAAAAGCTACTACGTTGTGCTATGAAGTGTCAAAAGCTACTACGTTGTGCTATGAAGTGTCAAAAGCTACTACGTTGTGCTATGAAGTGTCAAAAGCTACTACGTTGTGCTATGAAAAGTCAAAAGCTACTACGTTGTGCTATGAAGTGTTATGTCTCACATATTCTAGCCCAAACTCGTGGCCTTTCCTCGCCAGAACATCCTGAAGATTGTCGGGTACTCATTCGTATTCGGCAGGGTGGACGTCAGAACCTTACTAATCGGGGAAAATCCACAAGGGACTAAAAGTACCGCTGCCATGACTGTCACATGCAATAAACACAGTACCACTTATCTTAAAATGTGAGTTTTACATCTGAAGTCCGATGCACTGGTATTCACGTAGTTTGAGTACAGCTTAGCGCGGCGTCCGTGGCTTAGACTCGTAATTCCAACGTGCCGCGATCGAAACCAACTGCTGGCTGTGTGTATTTTTATTATGGTATGGGGCGTCGCAGTTCAGCCTAAAATGGGTATCAGGATGTATGTCCTGATGAAGTAAAGACGGCCGGCGAAATGCTGACCATATTAACCACCTAGTGCCGATTGATCTGTAAAAAATCTGGGTGCTCTTCCCAAATGCCCGACATGCCTAAAGGATTGAAAAGGGATCTTCCTTTTACTTAATACAGCTTAGCATCGAGACTTCCCTCCAAACCTCTATTCTCCAGATAGTGTTTTGCAACGTTCTCTTCTCATCCTCAAAGTGTCTAAATCAGCCATTTCCCCTTGGTGGTCCGTAGACTGTCGAGGGTAGGCGGAATAGACAGCTCTACACACAACATGCAGAAAACCTGACTCGGCAGACATAGTAGGCTAGAACTACTAACACTAAGAAACAAACAATGAAAAAAAAAGCATGAACAGGAGCCAACATTATAACTAATGCTATCTAGGAGAGGCTAGCTCCCTAGGTAGCGGCTGAACTTGGCCAATTCAAATG